TTTTCTCCGAGGAATAAGGCTATCACCACTGTGTTATCTTTGTGGATAATGTTCCTCGCAAATGCACCGAACAACTTATGGACCCTTTAATTTTTGTGGGCAAGGGGCCTCGTGAGTGGAACACTGGGCGGCACATTATCATTCCCGGTCCAGGCTGAAGGGCTGCTCCGTCCCAGCGCGGGGCGCCTTCCAACCGCCATTCTGGCAGTGCGGGAATCCTGGTCGATCCGGAGGCCATCAGAAGAATACACCATTAAAAACGTTGGTCCTTTCTCTGACGCCGGAGGCTTCTGACCCGCGCAGTTAGACCCGGATCGACCCAGAAACCCTTATTGACGCAACAGGATCCCTAATCGCTGCAAGTGGTTTAATAACTGGCACACGTACTCCAGTTCGGCTTAAAGGGCCCTCGTCTATAATGGGGTGGAGGGCTTACCGTCCGGTATTGAGTCCCTGGGTGACACAGGGCCCCTTTTATGGTCTCAATGTGGACTTCCTTCACCAGCTCTCATGTCTCCATCAATTGTCAGCGGCCTTTGCCAACGCAAGAGGCCCTCAAGCATTCAGATTCCGGCCCTGTCTCTGTTCAACAAATGCTTCCAGGCTGACTCGGGATCCCTTGTTGACACAGGACACCCTATTAGGCACTGTGGGTCCCAGGTCGAGACAGGGACCCGCATTGTTTCATGGCTGCAACTAGTGGAAATCGCGGGTCCGGTTTTGTCCCTGCTTGGGAAATGGGCCTACAGGACTGAAATCGACATGGAGCCAACTGTTCGGTGTTGGCGATCTCTGACCGAAATAGAGAAACGCACTGTCCCAGGGGCAACAAATCGGTGCAAGAGGCTCTCTAACTGAAATCTGACATCACGGCCCTAGGAGTCGGGATCCATAATGTAACCTACACTCAGTCGTTCGGGCGCTTCAGCTCTCCAATCGGACCCTTGGTCGCTCGTCTAGAGAGACCCTGCAGGGCTCTCTTCAGGCCCTCTTAAACATGAATCCTGGCCGACTCAGGACCACTTGCAAATAAGGACCCCTGTTAGGGACTGTGGGGCCCCTGACCTGGGCCCCGACACAGGAAACCCTCATTGTGTCAGAGGCCCCGACGAATCAAAATCGCCGGACTCAACCTCGTACCTGTTTGGAAAGTGGCTTCCCAGTGCTCAGACCGACGGTGCGCTACTGTGCGCTACTGGTGGTGCCTGACCAATATTAATACCCTTGACAACTCAGGGGTCCCTTGTGTCCAATCGGCGCCATGTATATAATAGGCGCAAGAACGTTTCAAAAAGTGGGGAGCCGAGCACAGGGGGTACGGGGGGAGGGAGGGTTACAGATGGAGGTTGTTATCGCTCTTTATTTAAATGGCATGGCTGCCATGGTAGATATGTATCGAGAGCTGTTTCTTTCTGGTGCGCAAGCTTGCCTATTCGACTCATCTATGTCATTCGGCAGATAAGGCTGTTCAGCTACCCAAGACCATTCGTTCACTTTAACATTGTTTTTCCTGCGGACGCGGAATTCCACGAGCGGGTGGGCATTTTGGGTCATTGAGCAGACATCTGTCTTCACAGGGTAGATGCCGAAATACGGCATGGACATAGCTTGGTGGGAATTTTGAAAGTGAATCGATGGCACACAGTGCCACGGATTTCTCATGCGCCGTCATTTCGCTGGCTGCTTTTCAAGAGACAAGGCTTGTCGCAGCATTTTATGCGGAAACCAATCCGGAAGATTGAAACTGCTAAAAACAACGTGACAAAAGCCATAAAACTGGAGATTATCCTTAAGCAACTAAGCCACAGAATCAAGGCCCTTCTGTTATATATTCCTTGTCTGGGCCCTGGTTCCGTCCGCCGTCGGCGGCCACTGCCTAGGCCCAGCTGTTTCCCATATGGCTGATTGCGAACTGATCATATGGCTGCTTTGTTGCATATTTCTGGATTGGCATACTACTTATTGGTGTGTAAAACATGTTGGACACCTGCAACAGTATCTTTTTCCGAATTATCTTCCCTTACACCACACCACCCCGGAGACAGGGGCGGATCTAGCCTGGAGTTGTTTTTTTTGGGGGGGGGGGGGCAACCGTTCGTCGCCAGCTGGCTCGTGTGGGATCCGAGGTCCAGTGCATGGTGCCTCCCGCGAGTACCTAGTAGGGACACCATTAAAACACCGAAATGCCTTTGAATCTTAAACAGAAGTTAAAACAAAACAGTTAAACAGTCAAAGTTCAAACAGACGGTAAATAGACGAAACTTTCATGAAGCTCTGATAATTTTGTTTTGGGGGGGCAAAACATACCCTCAGAATTTTTGTTTTGCCCCGGGCCCCCCCCCCCCCCCGGGATCCGCCTATGCCCAGAAAAAGCCACTCCTCCCGGGAAGCTGCATACCTCACGTATGAATTGGCCCAACGGACATTTAATTGCCTATCATTCAACGTAGACGACTTCATCTGCTTTTATGTGTAGGCGGGACGTAGCAGAACCTCGCTAAGGGGGAGCACAGGGTTGACAAAAGCTTCTCTTATAGTGACCCCACGAAATACCCTCGGATATAGCTTACTTGTTAACAAGGGATACGGTTTTCTTCGTTTCATTGGCATTTTTATCTTGAAGCCAGAACAGAAACCGGGAGCTACCGTAAGATCAATTCTGTTTGTACTTTGAAGTAAATAAGGTGCAGAAATCAGGCGTTGAACCACCATATGAAATAAATCGCCGGTGCCCTTAATGTACAATAGCTCATTGGGCTTTTTATAAATCGACATAATTAAGAAGCTTTGCCAGAATGTTTTACATGGGCTCTACAGACATTAAGGATGTCGTGACGGTCAATGGTAGATCGCCATGTTTGATCGAAATTTAAAGATGAAAATTTGATTGTAGCTCGAGTGGTCAACAACGTGTATCAACATGGCCAAGCCACGTTTGTTTGGAAATATTTAACACTCAGCCAGAATCAATTAGCGATACAATTTATGTAACGCGATTTTTTAAAACATGCGTGCTCCCAAGTTTTAGCAACAAAAACCTTGACACCAGGCATTGCAGTCTCCGTAGTCTGCAGAGCGCAGAGCGCATGTCTGCTAGACCGGCCGCCAATTTTTCGTCGTGGCCCACCGGTAGACGAAAAGGATGACGCCCCTGAAGTAATTGCCTTTAAACACTCGAATCGATGAGGAGCACGCATTGTGTGACATAATTTTGAGCACGCGCACTCGCAAGTCTTAGTAACAGAAACCTCAACGCCAGGTGTAACAGTCCCCTTAGGCCGGGTAGCATCGGCCCAGCAGCTAATGCTGAGCCGCGGCCAACGGATGGACGAAAATGATGACGCTTCTGAAATAAGTACCTTTTAACGCTTCAGGATATCAAATCATACATTGAGAAGGCAGTCTGGGTGTATATTTCACGCGTGGGATTTTTAGACTGATGATATGAACGGATAGGCCCTTAAAGCACCGTGAAGTGGTGCTGGAATGTGGTCTGTGTGTCTGTCGTGAAGCTGTAAGAGTAAAGGTAGAATCTCCATTTTTCGTGTTTATGTAACTATTTGTCTGTCCAGAAGACAGATTAACACGGCGCCTGCCTTCTGGTGGCACTTGCGGTGGCCAACGCCGTTCTGACGATTTTTTTTTATTAATCCATTCTGAAAAAATGAACGTGCTCGGACAAACATGGGATAGCCTTGCTCGTTCTTTTTAAATTCATTTCTAACGTTCGAAATATTCAACAATAATGAGAACCCCACTCTACTCAACAATAATGAGAACCCCACTCTAATCAACAATAATGAGAACCCCACTCTACTCAACAATAATGAGAACCCCACTCTACTCAACAATAATGAGAACCCCACTCTACTCAACAATAGTAAGACCCCTTATTCCCTTCCGTATAAGGGGCCCCTTGTGTAGAACACCAGAGGCACATTACCGGTTTCAGTCAAAGGCTGAAGGGTCACTCCGTCCCACCGCGAAGTGAAGTGTCTTCTGGCTGTCATTCTGGCGACACGAGGCGGGATCTCTAGGTCGATCCGGAGGCCATTAGGAGAATATATCATGTCACATTGTTCCCCGCCCTGACACGGGAGCCTTCTGACCCGCGTAGTTGGCCTCGGATCAGCATAGGAGCCCTCATTGACGCAACCACATGCCTGATCGCAGCAGGTGGTCCAATACTTGTCACATAGACTACAGTTCCATGTTTTCTCCCGTGTTCTGATATATTGAGGACTCCCTGAACGTAGATTGTAGATGAATTGAGTCCTAAATTTGTGTCAACATAACTAATCCATGTTCGTCTTAAAATGCTCAAGATTCAGTCAGAATTGATTACTGATGAAAATTTATGTAACATGGTTTTGAACTTGCGCGCTCGCAAGTCATACCAGCAACAGCCTCGACGCCCGGCGTTGCAGTCTCCATAGGCCGCGTGACGTCGGTTCTGCGGCTGTGACGTTAAGCGATCGTCAGCAAGCAAACGAAAAAGATGACGGAGGCATCTTGAGGAAGATGGCTGGTGAACTAGGCAAATCAGCATGTATGTTTCTAATGTGGTGCATAAGTAAGCTAAACCCAACCTTTATCTGAAAAGTGGAGAGCCAGTTAACACTGCTGCCCTCCTGGCCCCCTTGTTCCTACACCCATGATCGGCGCAAAGGGTCCTGTGAGTGTCAGCTGAGGGTCCGTCCCCATGAACCGGGGCCTCCGAGTAAGATCTCCAGCCAGTCCTTCGTGCTCTGGGGTCCTCCAATCGGGCCGATTGGAGGACCTAAGGACCTTGGCCGTCGGTTCCACCCCTCAGAACGTAAGGGGAGGTGGGGCGAGTGCCCCACATGTTCCCCCTGCCAACGCCGCTTTTACGCAGTGATGTTACTCGATTCGTGCGCGCATTAAATGGTATCGATGCATACGTTCTATAAAGTACTCCATAACTTAGCAGGCTGCCATTTGAACTTTTACGAGCTGCCATATCGCTGGCCGCAAATTATTGGTATCTACCAAGGCCCTAGAATTAGGGTGCTTATTACCTTGACAAGCAGGTACAGCACGGCAACAGCACGGCGTGTCGCTGGTTGTCGCCCGCAGCGCAGGTAAGGCACCGCGTGTTTCTAACGAAATGAACCGCGGTGATAGTAAACGTGATCGCGGCGTTAGGTTCAGGTTGTCTTTCAGGTGGGGTGTTGAATGAGAAAGGCGCCGCCGAGGGCTATGGTTGGTGGTGGGATGCAAATATCCAAATAGATGCACAGATTATGTGCTGTAGCCTTATGTAATTCCGATTTAGATGATAGCAATTGTAGCATCCTTTCCTCAGTTGAAATAGTGCAATATTTGGGTGCTGATGTTCACTCCTGACAAACTGAGTCAATAAACCCCGAGAAGCATAATCAATATAGCTGTTTTCCCAATGACATCAATTGCTGATTGACTGTTACAGAATGATTATATAATATGATTTAGTTTCTTGTGCTTTCTCATGCTATGTTGACTTCATATGTTATTAGTAACTTACTCTAGTTTTCCTTTGCCTCAGTACAAACCTTCAGTTGTACTCTTCCAATGATGCAGTGCTTTTGGATCTGTTAGCTCCTGTTGCTTTGGATGTTATGTCTTTAAGTTCACTTCATGTCATATTTAGACAAGTTGTAGGTTGAAGGGAGGGTGGCTTGACCCCCAGCCTTTCCTTGGCCATTGTTCTGAAATGAAGGGATGATTGTGCATTATGGTACATCCAGTTAATTTTTGCAAGCCTACTTCTGTTCATTCCTTTCTTTCCTGCATTTTATGGCTTGTTTGATCAATCTTGCACTTATAATATGTATGTTTTTTACATTATTCACCTGCTATGATGTGTACATCTCAGTGATATTGGAGAGGCCTCACATGCAATGTGCAGCTTCTTGCTATTTAGCTTAAACTGATATTGGCAAATTGCATGGCAAGGTAATAAATATGGTTGGTATTGTTTGTTGTCATAATCATGTAGCATTAAACAATGAGTATGATAATGTGACAATGAAATGCATCCCAAGTCAGTCTCTTGTAATGTGGGTGGTAAAAAAAAACAGTTACAGCCAATGCTTCCATAATAACCTTCTTGAGCCACTTGGGCTGCTCCAGTGCATTGTTGGCTAAAGTAGTGAGATTGTAGTCTCCTGGCCATGAAAGCCATTGATCATTTTATCATTGATGTGCATCTTGCCCTCTGCAGAAGTTTTAACTTTGAGGTGGCATAACACATGCAGAAGGATTGGCAGGGGATTCAGACCTACCTGACCTAAAGTACAGCAAAGACTCTGCATTTGCCCTCCATCTCCGTGAGCCACAGAACACATGTCACACTGATGTTGCGCATTTACCCTCCATAACAGTGAGCCACAGAACACACTGTCACAGTGATGTTGCCATTGTTGATCAACTGAGCATTGGCCAGCACTGCCTCCTTATGGCTGTGAGGCAGGTGGTGAGTGTCCACTTCTATTTAGACTTACTTCTGTACTTCTGCTTCCTACCTGAGGGATCCTGCACAGCCTGGGGTGCTGAGCATTGGCCTGCATTTCCACCCCTCCCCTGCTTTGGCATTTCGTGATGGAGTTGCACCCACTTGACATTGGCATGCTGCTCTGGGTGCCAATCCTTCTCCGGCTGTGTAGTCCTCTGAAGCTGTCTCCACTTTACTTCTCACAGCTGTGTGGCTTGGTGGGCCCCAGTGTCCACTCAGTGTTGGCTCAGCCACAGCATTGAGTTCTGCAGCATTGAGTTCCTCTGTCCCTTCCTGATACACCACTTCAGTAGTTCCAACTGCCTCATGTTCATGTCAGCCATCATGTTTAGATGGCCTTTTCTTTGCCTCCACCATGTGCTCTTCGATTGTACCACGAACACACTGCCGGTGCTGAGGGGTGACTGTGACCCGCTGCATAATGCAAAACAAAACTAAAATCACACTGGCTCTCCATGACCAATGATAGGGTTTTACAACATTATTTGGTGTGATGATTGGAATATCTAATTTCAGGAAGCTTTTTGCAATGCTGACTTTGATTATTAGCTTGTCTTCAAATACTTCTTGGCATTTACTGAAAACCTTGATTCACTTAAGCTCTGGAAGTCCACTAATGCACATGCTAGTGGCACACAAAGATAGCCTCAAGTCTATATTTTGCATTTTACAGGTATCTTAGGCATCCAAACTGTGCAAAGGCTAAGCCCTAGTTTTGATATGTTCATTGTGCTACAATTGTGTACACAACTCAATCTCAGTAAGCACAAATTTCAGGACCATGCATTATGCACAATTTCTCATTACATGTATGTGTAAGGTTGGGTTGCACACAGTTAGAGACCCAGCTGTGCACAAAGCATGCCCTGATGGGTATGAAATTCTCTCAGAGAAGCTTTTTTTTAGTGAACCATAAAATAAAGCTAGTCATTTTACCCTCTCACCAAGATGGATCCTTTTAGTATGCTTGTGTGGTCTGCCTCTGCTGTGAAAAGCATGTGTCCTCAAATCTAACTTGGACTGCCAGGTTCTGTTGACAAACCCTCAATGTCTACCAAGTCTAGCAACCAGGGACAGCACTACCCAGCCAAGGGCTCTGAGCCTGCTGCAACCAGTGCTACCATGGGTAACCACCATTACGAAGAGCTCTCCTTCTACCACGGGGCTGCCAAGCTGGCCCTGAATGCAGCTCTCAGTCCATTGGACAATGCCAAAGTTCTCATGCAGGTGGGTGGAATGTGGTAGCCATAGTGTATTCTTATTTTGTGTATTGATCTATTTGTAGAAAATGTATTCATTGTGTATTCATCATATGAATTCAAACTGGTAGTTCCTTTTAAGTCGCTGAATTGCATAGGGACATGGGAGGTTGTCTGCAATGTATTTGTGCACCTTGTGGCTCTTCTTGTACCACTCGTCTTGTACCACTCTTCGTCGGGCTGATCGTTGCACGGTGGCGTTTCAGATCGGTTTTGAGCCGTTGCCACCGAGACCGACGAAGACGTTGTTTGGTCGCCCAGCGCTGGGCTTACCCAACGTCTTCACCTACAGTGAGCATTCCTTTACAGTGCACCAGTCTTCTGCACAGTTTGTCAGGAAGGACCCAAATCATGACTTTCAAGGCATGTGATATGCTTAACAGCTTGATGTAAATATGCCCTCGTTTGATGTGTGCTGCTGTGTGACAAAATTTTAGCCCCTAGAAAATAATACTTCCTATGAACCTCTTGTCTGCTTCATGAGGTGTAGCGAGACCCCTTCATCCGACGCGAGCTGGGAGCGACGTGTCGGCTCTCTGTCGCCAGTGTCGTACATGAGGAAGCGCGACGGCTTTTGGGGCCTGTACCGGGGCTGCACGGCGCGCATGGCCTGCCAGGTCGTGTCCGGCGTGACCTTCCACCAGGTCACCAGCCGGATCACATTCCAGGTGAGTGCCGCGGGCGCGGTGGGCGGGGCGTTGCCGGATGCCGGTGAGGCTGTGACTCACCCCACGTGTTTGCGGGACTGAGTCTCATGCTGACAACGCACTTGTGCGGACGGATAAGGGATGAGTTGGGGTCAGAGCAGGATGAGTCTTGGCCATGTGTGCATTATGATTCATAGGCTGGTTGGCGGCGACGTTTTGTGATTATCATTCAGTTTAAAGAGTTCCGGCAACCGGAACGGACTGCCGTGTTTTGCTGTTGCATCACTCGATCCGTGCTTTTCATCTGGTGAAACTGTTCGGCGTTTATTTCAGGAGTGTGAATTAGACTGACTCTCGACAGCTCTATGCAGATATGCCTAGACCAAAGCCCGAATGGGCACAGTTGTATACGTGGCTTCACCACGGTCGGGTAAATGGGTATGGGTAAATGGAAGATGGATTCGGAAATTACATCCAGAGAACAAAGGTGTTGTTATTTCTCGAGTCACGCAACTAAAGCTGTTGTCATTGGCACCGCCATCCGCGCTGAAAAGCGGGAACCAGTCATGAAAACCAGAGTGTTAGCAACTGTAACAGCATCGGCGGGTTCCCCATCTAGATGCGCATAGTGGTGAGTAGAGTGCGCTGGTCAGCGTAGGACTTACCAGCTGACCTTGCTTTTCACGGCTGGCTTAGTCAAATCCGCGTTCCCGGTGCAAACCTTTTGCCAGCGGTGTAGCCACAGGTGCGATGCAAACCACTCATGGCAGCCGTGCTGACAGAATAGGTGGCTCTTTATGATAACAGGTTGTACGTACAGTCAAGGCGGTACAGCAGAGGAGCGAGAGCGGGGGAGCGAGAGCGAGAACGAGAGCGAGAGAAGAAGAGCGAGAGCGAGGGAGGGAGAGCAAGAGAGAGGGAGAGAGAGTGAGAGAGAGAGAGAAAGAGAGACGGTTTCCCTCGAAACGGCCTCGTCGTAGCATTGCACAGCATTCAAAAGATCCATGTGCAATTCTGCCACGCCAGAAAGGCCGGGTGTCAAAACTGCCTCTGGATTGGAACAGCACGTAATCGGTGGCGCCCTGAAGGTACAGCCATCCAGCTATGCTCAACATTTGGGCGCATACACCTAGCCTGCGTGGATATCTTTCGGAATAAATGTGTATGCTGCATATCTCGGCAACCTAAAGGTTGCGATCAGCATATGCTACAGCGGCGGCCGCCTGGAAATGTTCACGCGTTCTACTGAAATCGGGCGACGGGCTATCTACTTGACAAGGCAGGCTCCTGAACTTTCCTGACGCCCAGTTCCTCCCGCGTTCTGCAGGAGGAAGACCGGCTGCGACGGCAAGCGCGAGGAGGACCTGAACGAGGAGGAGCTGCGCAAGCTGTTCATGATGGCGACGCTGCGCGACCTGGGCGGCCGCCTTGCCTGCATCATCATCACTCAGCCGCTGTTTGTCGTGAAGACGCGCACCGTCGCGCAGTTCGTCGGTCAGGAGGTCGAGCACAGGTCAGTGGGTGATGTGCCGGGGAGGGAGGGGGGGGGGGGGGGGGGGGGGGCGCCGCGTCGGCAAGGTTCGGCCCCGGTCGGATGCTGCGCTGTCTATTGGCGAGCTATCTTTGAAATGTCTGTTCGTGACTTGAAATGTGATCTTGGATTTCAAAGGTGCGACCTAGTAGGCAATGGGTTTTGTATGGCGCTCCGTCGGGCCATCCGTTCCGTACGCTGTTTGGTGTTGCATGTTGACCGGTTTCACCGCAAGCATTCGGTTGGAAGTCGCTTATTTTTAAGGTCGGCGTAGAGGGTCCTGGTACGAGTATGCGGCTTGACGGATGTGACAGTTGTCATACTGTATTCCGTTGCATCTCGTACAGTTGTATCATGTATCATTTAAGGTACTCGTTGCGTCAGCTTGCAATGCTAACTTCTTAGCACCTCCGTCCGTCTTGGCATCTCCGTCCGTTCTGGTAGCCAGAGCTGGTTTACCCTACATCCGCCAAGTGGCAGCTCTAAGAGGCTCTCACGAACTGCTGTGTGATGCTTCATGCATACTAGACCGTGATGACGGCGTCGGTCGCTCTGCCGGCGCGTGCTGAACTGTGCCCCGGAGCAGCTCCAAACGGCAGAGTGACGCGTCGCAGACCGCAGCGCTCGCCCGCTCGTCGCCGTGTGCTAACGTGAGCCCTGGGCGGTGCGTCGCTCGCAGCGGGGTGCTGGCCTCGCTGCGCGCCATCTACAACGAGAACGGCGTGCTGGGCTACTTCTCCGGCCTGATGCCGCGCCTGCTGGGCGACCTGCTGTCGGCGCTGCTCGTGGCCTCGCTCACTTACGTCGTGAACAACTACGTGGTCGAGGACCGCGAGTTCAAGGCCTACACGGCCTCGTTCATGGCGGTACGTGCCGGGCCACCGGGGGGGAGGTGGTTTGCTGGGCTGGCTCGCTGCGTCGCGCCGGGTGGGGCTTCAGTTTTCTTGCAGGGTTAGTTTCCTTGACTTTATATTTCCTGGTACCAGGTGCTGGCGTATTGTCCGATTCGTTTCGGATGGTCGTGAGGTTTTAGGTCGCTTCGACCGCGGCGGTCATTTTGCCTGGCGATTCGTGTCGAATGCGTAGGCGCAGGGGTTCCGGTGGCTGATGAGGCATGATGTGATGCTTTGATTGTGATGTGATGCTTGTGATGCATGATGTGATGCCATGCTTTTCCCGACGCATGGAGTGCAGCGGGCTGGTGCATGTATGTAGTCACGTGAACGACCAGCCAGCCCACAACGCTGCTGAGGTAGGCCCTACAGCTCGGAAGGATGAAAGCACAAAGGACCATGAAGCGCAGTTTTCGCCATAAAGTGATGCAACGTTGGCGCACGGCCGGCTGCGTACCGGCCGTGTTATGCGGTGAACCTCACGCGCTTTCCGTGTGTGTTGCAGTACATCGGCTCGGCGCTGACTTACCCGTTCCACGTGGTGGCCGCCTGCTCGGCCGTCTCCGGCTCCGGGTCAGTACCGTACACACACGGGCGCGGCGAGGCTGGCCACGTGCCGCGCACACTGGGCGTGGGGCCTGGTGCGGCGCCGGTGGGATGTA